AATATTTGAAATTCTAACTGAATCGACGTAAACCTAAATTTAAGTTTGAGCGATTCATTAACTGCCAGCCCATGACCCTTTGGCTGAAATCATATTAAACTGGATATTTCTGCATGCTATGAAGTTAGTTAATCACTAGCTTTTGTTTAGCAAATTGAAAACAGCTTATCCTAATCTGTCTGTTCTGCAAGATTTTAATGCATTTTGATTCACTTATTCGACAGATTGTTTCAGGGCAATGCATCGAACAAAATTTTTACGTACGGGGTGACGGCACTCGAGTTTACTTTTTCACACAAGGTAAGTTTGTTTGATTGGAAATCAAAAATCTGTTGTCGTTTTACTAAACATGTGCATGTAATAATAAGCAATAAATATAATCTGCATAGCGTCAAAAGCAATGGTAGCACATTGAAATCATTGCTCCTTATACACAGGAGCTTTTTCACTTTAGTTGTGACAAAAAATACGGAACGGTAACACAACCCATAACAAATAAGCTAACAAGATGAAGAGATGACAAGAGAATCTCCGAATAAACAGAGGTGACAGTCACGGAAAGAATTGCACAAGGCGCAGGGAAAGATGAAAAGCTCAACAGTTCTGGGCCTGGATCAGATACGTCCGTTCTGGCCTAAATGGCTAACATGTTTCCTCTTACGAAGGGCGGAGGTATCACTGCAAAGGCTGCTTGAAGATGGACAACCATTTTGGTTAACGGAAAGGGTGACGCATCTAGTCGTCAAAAACGCGACCAGGGGTTATGGCGATGTAACTAACTACAGAACTGTAACGTGCCTTCTAACGACCTGGAAACTCGTCACGTCTATATTAGCGAATTCGGTTTATAAGCATGTCGAGATGAACAACGTATTTCCTGAAGAAAAGTTCTGCCGGAGGAAATCAGGATTGGAGAACCGATGGAATATGCACCATTTTAGAACTGCGAAATAAGAAACAAAATTTGTCATGGCTTGGATAGGCTGCAAGAAGGCATCGATCTAAAATACGACATAACTGGATGCTGGAATGTCAAAACTACAATATCAGTGACGATGTAATACGGTTCTCTGAAGCAGCAATGAAATAGTTGTGAACAGCATTGCTGTGTAAAAAAGTCTACCTGGGATTCGTAAAAATGAAGCGACGAATCTTCTGGAGAAATTCTGTCTCACCGCTTCTATTTCGTCTGGCATTGAATCTGCTCAGAAACTTGCTGAATAACACCAGGAACGATATAAATTAAAGAACGACAGTGTAATATTATACCTGCTGTATATAGACTACTTGATTTCAGCAGTACATTTTTGTTTTAGTTACACTTCTCTTGTAGATGAAGCCGATGCACTGTTTACAAATGCGGGTCTCGAAAAAGTAACGAATTGCATCGATCGTCGTCTTCAGGTCAACAGAGGAAAGCAACTGAAGATGTATCGAGTTTGGATTCAATGTAAATATCGGAAGCCAGTAACGTAATGGTATGCGAAATGCTTTTTATGCCGTTATTAATATCAGGTGTTACTCAGTTTGTTACTTCACGGTTTTTTAAATCTTTACTTCACGATCGTTGCGGTGTTACAGGATAAATAAATTTCGTTTCATCCGTGCCATTAATCGGAAAAGAGCCTGGACGACTGTCTTTAAGGATCTTTAGGTCATAATAATTGTATTTTCTGAATTTAATACATATGATCACCAGATATTTGCCTACCTTTTACGATTTTCTTACGGTTTTTATCTGTAGTTTACACTTACTTACTCATCTGTCTAAATTTCAGGAAAATTCCGAACATGTTGCAGTGGGTGCGGACATTCGATAGGAAAGTGATGCCTTCCAGCGGTAAAGAACGGTAAGCGTTACGCATATCGATTCCTTGAGTCTTTGTCAGCAGTTGAACAGTCATCGCGAAATGTGAAGAGTCGGTAAAACAATGGTTGTTGATTTTGTTTTTAAAACAGAAAAATAGAAGTGACTGAATCGTTAAAAAAACAAATTTAACTGCAGTGAGAAAAAATTTTATGAAAAATATCAGAAAGCATTTTAAAGCCAAACACGCTGAGTTTCAAGGGAGTAACGCAGCTACTCTATAATTTAATGAGACTACATATAATGACTGCTTGGGTAAGAAAAGCAACTATATTAAAAAACATAATACGCATGCAAAATCAGAACTAAGACAAGTTCTCGAGAAATGTACAAAGCAAAATATTAAATCAAGATAAAACAATCCTGATATTCTGAGGTAGCTTTCGATACCGCCGGTAAAAATATATGTTAAAAATAACGATACACGATAGCAACGGCAAAGATGCGCAGTATAAAGAAAAAAATGCATTTTCCACTATACACCAACTGCATTGTTGCATCACTGTCTTGCTTTTAGTGGCCTAGGGGGTCGTAAGTAGGCCACAGCTCCATGGATTTAAGCGCCCAAAATGCATAAGACATTGCCGCATCTCTCAGTTGGATTTAACAAGGGCATGTTAAGGCCGAAACGCATTTACCATGATCTGTAGGCACAATTAAGATAAAACAACCCCGCTGTTCAAAGGTAGCTTTCGCAAAATGCTGAATAACGGAAAATCGACAAACACCTGTTGGTCAGGCGTGTTTTAAGAAATGATTGCTAAACTCATTTGCAAGATGTGGAGATGTCCGGGCTTAGGTTTTTCTTAAAATGAACAGATATTTAATGCGTATCTTTTACTTATCTTTGAAAAGTGTATTATCTGACACAAAAATGTACACCCATCTACGATGAGTTTTAAGCGCTTTTCGTAGCACTGAAAGCTGCGCCTTTCAAAATCCCGTTATCATGCTGAGTTTCGAACTGAGAACTTTTCAAGTGATCAGTATAATCTTTAGACATCAGCGACTCTTGCTTCGGTTTCCGGTACAGCTTCAACAACAGCGATGAGCACACGACGCTGATCGACGAAACCGCCATAGCGGCTGCTGCTGTCCATGGTGGAATGCCGATGCCGATTGGACGAAATATTCCTAAATTTTAAAGTAAATACTATAAGATATAGTCATGTACAAAGACGCCACCTATATCAGATGGAAAAACGGAGTCGGGGGTTGGTCTCATTTACAATTCGATTATTGAGTCCAACTGATGATATCGCTCCTTCATGCAGTTCACGGTGGAGTCAGTCTCCATTCCTGTCATCAGCCAGGAATATCCGGTTGCTTTTATTTTTTAGGCTATACATAACCACCTTAGCGTGGCTTTTCCAATTTGCTCCCATAAATGATACTCATACTCATTTATCCACTTCAGAAGGATGTCAGTGGAATGACCCGCCTGTGACTCGATTTCCTGTTTAAGAGTCTGACCGAACACTAACGGCCATACATGTTAAACCTGTATTTAAAAATGCCGGACCAAACGTCAAATGTTAGTTTATGGTGTACAGCCGCTCATTTAATCGCTTAATAATAACCAGATGAAAAACTGATATATAAATTCAGCTAATTATTTACCATGGAGCTGACTTAGGGTAACTCAGCACAATCTTCAACTCGGTCGAAACGTCCACAGTTCCAATTCTGAACGAATACTCGCCTTTCTGTTCAAGTAGCTAAATGAGTAGCATTACGTTGGCGTAGGATGGACGCAAGAAACCACACACTAAATGCCTGTGGTGGTATATCCTAATTTACAGCCACAACAGTGAACAGGAGGTGCCATGGCATTCCAGGGGTTATAAATATCCTCTTCTAGTTCAGAATATTTCGACTGTAACCCAGTTCATCTACACAACGTCAGCGAAAACAACCGGGATTAAGCAAAAAAATTTTTTATCACAATGACTATTAAGATCTCGCGAAATAAGAAAACGAGTTTACCCGCTGCAAGTGGAATGCTTAACAAATTGTAAAGGGAAGCAAAGATGAAGTTGAGTTTGATGCGCCTCATCGTTCTCCGTGACAAATCTATTGCAGCCACGACGTCCAATAGATTATTCTAAATCAACAAATAAAACAGAATTGGAAACAGAACGGTAACAACAGGAGGTCACTTGCGTTTATTAAAACAATGCCTGCCGACTGCATGGCGATGTCTGAACCGGATGCAATTGCAATGCCAATGTCGCTTGCTGCAAGCGCCGGACCGTCGTTGATTCCGTCCCCAACCATACAAACCTACAATTTCGCAATTAATTATCATAAACTATAATTTTCCTCTAGAAAATGCATCCTCGGAATCTCCTGTCAGACAGCATTGGCTTCAACAAAAGCTTGCGTCATACTACAGGGCGGGAGTGTAATTTGCAGTTTATCGGCCGTATCTCGGGCTGTTTGAAACGATCGACAAATAAAACTTATAGCCAATGATGAGACCAGACGACAGATCTCTTGAAGCTCTTTCAAGTCGTTTGTCCTATCGTCAGCGCGAAACCTCAGAAAAACCAGGTTATTTAAATCATCACCATTACACCTTGTTTAGTCCAATATATCTTACTAATACTGCGTGTATGTTAACTGTTCTTTACCATGGCATAGGAGTCATCAGTTTGTGTTTTCCTGTTCGATCATTTAGTCTTTTCACTAGTCGAAACTGCAACGTTAAATTCTTTTTTTCTATTTTTGTGCTATAAATCTTGTTTACATCCTAAAAAACTTTCATCGACATACCATTCACCTAATAAAGTCTTTAAATCTCCCATTCTTCTTATTTATAATAGGTGTGCGCAGTAAATAGCAGATTAAATACTACAGAATGAAAAAAATCAACATCTACCTTCAGTCCATTTTTCTGCAACTCCTCAATTTTACTCTTTTTTTGGCTTGGCAGTACCTCGGCAAACACGGATTCTATACCAACCTAAGAAGCCAGGTTAAAAAATAGCGTTTCGATTAATTAGCACCTTCCGTGCGACAGCAGACGCGGTTCGAAGGTTGTCGCCCGTCAACAGTATCACGTCCAACCCCATTTTCTTTAAAAGGTATACAGTCAGTGGCGCTTCCGGCTTAATGGTATCAACGATTGATATGGTTGAAACGACAATTTCTAAAAATTATTTTAACAGCAAAAAAAATACTATGGAAAAACGGCAGTCAATTGATATATTGAAGTGATGTCGATTGAAACGAATCACTAATTGTAATGAACCGCATGTACTTGAAACCAAAACGGACTGCCATGAACTGGGTTTCCCATTCAGCAACCGAATTTTGCCAAACAGCGTTGCCAAAATAGGTGAGGGCATAAAAACAATATGATCCCTTTCAACCAAGACCGGGTCTGTAACACATCCGTGGGTACGTCTGTCGCCCTTGCTATTTCGGAGAAACAAACGTGACAAACGTATAACCCAAATAAAAAGAAAACGTGATGGAGATGAAATTAAATATAAAAAGAAATGGTCTGAATATTAAAATGTTAAAAAAGCTTATAAGAACCATTAAGCGCTCGCATACGTGCGAATCGACAAACTAACCCTTTGCGGTACCTATTTCATGCATATTATAGCAGCGATGATTCCATTCATTCATCAATCCATTGAACTACTACAAATTACTCAGGCTATTTGCCTACACATTCGCATATCCATATAATTAGCTTGCCTTCAAAGATTATCAAGCACTTTGTCCCGTTTCGCCTTTACTGTCCTAACGAAATTCAAAAAAATATTACCATTAATAGCGCACAACACCACGATGTGTCCCAGCTGTTCTTCTGACCGCATGAACTCCTCAGCGGCAGGGTCGACCGTCACTCTGTGTGTCTGCATCCATTCGCGATTTCCGATGAGCACCTTCCATGGACCGGATGTGAGAAGACCGAGGCCACCGTCTGAACAACGATACAGCAAATAAACCACGGATAAGTAATTACCTTTATGCCTCTTCACTGCGTTCAGCAAGAGGTTGACGCCATCGCAGGAGACCGGTAAACCACTCTGCAGCATTTTATTACAAAGAGCGAGGCTTTCGATGTTTTCCTTCACCAGCGAAACGCCGGATACCAAGCAATTGATGCCACGACCAACAGAATTCTCCATCGTCGAACACACCCCGACTATGTCGGTTTGCAAAAACTAAAAAGGTAATATTATATCACTTTTCAGTACTGTTGGCATCAAGCAAATTAACAGGGAGAGTATTCATTAGGAACATAATTTTTAGTTTCACAAAACCTCTCCGCAGAAAAGAAACTCAGTACGACAGATATCCTTAATAATTTTACACACCATACTTGCTACATTCATCACATTTGATTCGTCGCCAGGGAATGAAAATGAACGATATTTTGTTCTCTTTACTGTCTGAAGAAAATCAAGTATCATTTAAAATGGTTCGGGTACATCACAACAGAAAATTTAAGTGCAAGTCATCTGATAACTAACTTGTGGTATTGCTATAGCATATTACGAATGGAGGTCAAGGCTTTGGTCTTTATTACTAGATGCGTTTTGGTCGCCCATCCGCGATCATCCATCTTTTCCGGCTTGACAAGTGCATCACTGTTCTTTCAATGATGGTGCTTTATGTTTCTCTATGTAACATTTCCCGCAACTACTGCTGGACTGTAGATCATTAAACTTCACTTTTAACTGTATTCGCCGTATAATGCAGACACAAATAAACGTGTGTCCAATAAAACAGTGCAAAAATCTGACGCTGAAACTTCAAACAAGTCTATTCAGACCTCAGCTTATGCAAAATTATAAAATACCTTTCTTCGACAGTTATACCAACGCACAATGGGATGAATTCCTTGCTAAAGAAAATAATTTTCAATCAGAGAAATTTTGCGCCACTGGCATATAAAGTCGGCATCTATTAGATGCAAAGAAAACTATTTATCCACTGTATCACTATCCCATTCACACATGAATGCATGTTGGCCCTCAGTCCTCCTCACTGAGTTTATGAGAGGGGCAGCTAATCAGAGGGTTTAGTAATTGTGATCACCGGCCATCGAGGCGGAAAAAATGACGTGCAGTACAAAGTTGCATACCTGTTTTACGAACGATGTAATCGCCACAGCCACGGGATGTTCTGAAGTAGTTTCTGCAAGTCCAATGATGGTCAATAACTTTTCCAGGTGAAAATGTTCTGGCGGCATGAAAAGAACCACTTTGGACACTTTAGCTTTGCCACTTGTTATGGTGCCGGTTTTGTCAAAAACGACCACGTTTACCTAAACGAAGAGCAGCTTCAAAACAAACAAGCTCATTTTCAAAAGAGTCATTTTACGAAAGAAATAAATATTGCACGATAACGCCAAAACAACTAGTATCGAATGCAACACCGACTGTTTTTTTTTGGAATGTTCATTAATCATCCTTGGTTCGACACCAACTCCGGAACAAAGTTAAGAAAGCGATTAGACAAGGACAACTTTCTTTAGGGGGCCAGACTGAAAATGGTGTTCAGCTGGACAAACTGCAAAGGAAGCATAAAGATCAACGCAGAACAACTATCATCCAGCTGCAAGATATGCTGAAATAGCTCGAGAAAGAAAGTGGCCAATTCGAACCAAAAATCTGTCGATCAACGACAAAGTAATGCCAGCACATATCTATAAAACACCCAAATAACAATTCAAGAAGAGTTTACTGCTGATGTGGTAGATCACGTCCCCTGAACCCACTATTCAATAACATTCTTATTGGAAAAGCCAGCAGAGCAATACGAGCTTACGTCTTCAACGGTGATACGGAACGGCAGCAAACCATTGTCGCTGACCAAAAACCGAGGAATATCAACTATCTGCTGCAAAGAGTGCCAGGAAAGGAACATTTAGGGACTTCGCTGAGCCAACACATCCGGCGCAGCAATTAGACAGCAAATTTGAATGAGAATGTAATTACAAAGGAGGAAAGACAAAATGCGAAGGATTGGGCAGGTAATTCAATTCTTTGACCACTGAAGAAAGGCGTTAATTACCGAGTGGCACGGATTCTGCTTGGTCGCCCTCCAAAACAAGAAACTGTTTACCTATGGCGTACGATCCACTGCAAAGGAATGCCAAACAAGACTATAGCGAAATGTTGCGATATGGGTTATCACTTGACGCTAAATAACGATCGATCAAGCAAGCCACAATTATCCTTTGCATATCCGTCGAATAACCGCTTGCCGAGTTGTTTAATGAGGCTGCACAGAGGAGCCTACCCACCCATAGTACACCGGAAACTGCTGCAAAATTCGCAGTGAATAACTGACGTTGCATTCCTGCGGTACCAGAGAAGGAGACCACGGGATGTGTCACAAGACAGCTTGCTTGAGCAAGCATATCCACGATAGAAATTTTATACTGTAGTTCTTATACGGTCAAAATACGACAACGGGAGTGTCAAGGACATAACTAGGCACGTCACATGCAAATGAAAATACGTCAAACATGCAGGCCGTTCTACAGAGAGGTGTAAAACGTTGCTTTCTATACGTAATCCAAATGAGAAAGGCGAAAAGCCAATAAGATGAAACGGTCACGGAAGCCTTCTCGACTCTTTCGCGGCGGTCTGGAGCAAGCGCTGAGCATACGATTCGAACTGTTCAACACATCTTGAGTTCTATCGATTGCTAATGTAGATTAACTTCAACCAAGAACTGTAGTTAAATGTGCTTCTTTAATATCTACACAAATTACCATTAAACCACAGCATACCTTGCAAGCATTCTGCAGAGCTTCGCCTCCTTTTATCAGAATGCCGTGCAAAGCTCCAACACCGGTTCCGACCATAACGGCAGTCGGTGTTGCCAAGCCAAGAGCACACGGACATGCGATTGCCAACACGGTAATAGCTGATTCAAACGAAAACCTGTAAATCAGTTCGTGATTGACGATATCGCACAGAGATCCGTTGCAACTATTAAAATAACGCAGCCTAAGGAAGTGACCCTATAAGGGAAAGCAATTAGATATAAAACCACGTATAAAAACTATGAAAACAACTTTCATAAAGCAAAGACTAAAGGATCAAGATAAAATTTGAAAACACTTTGCCGTTGTTGTTAAAGTTTCCATTATCATTGCTAACTCGATTTTCAGAGCTACAATGGTAGAAGCTAATGAGACATAAAATACTCTCGAAAGCCCAGCTGTATTTTAAATACGTATTCGTCGTTTTAATCCACGACTGTCTATTTCTAGAGCTGCTATAGACAACTTCAAATGATAATAAACACAGCCAAAAAAAAGAGACGCAATGCTGTCCATTTTAAGGTCGCTTCCATTGCATCATAATGTTAGGAGTCATAAAAATGAGATTCGATATTTGACAAAACAGCTAATCGAAGTGGTGACAAAAATACTCTGCCACTGTTCTACCTTTTCCGTTTGTTCTTCTTTCCGTTATTTAATTTCCCTCTGTTTAACCATGTCGAAATTAAAATTTATCTCCCCATTAACGACTCTCGTGCTCAACAGATCATTCCC